GATTATCGATTATGGCATGCTATGTCTACAATTATCTAAAATTGTATACACATTACACAATATGTTAATTCAATCAAATGGAGCTGAGAATCATGAATCCTGCAAATGGATATCTACATATGACGAGAAACACATGCTTAAAATATCATGACTGAGATCACTAGCAAAAATAAATACTTCAACAATAATAATGTTGAGCTATGGGGCATTAACAGACTGGAGCCATGCAATGAGATGTGATACGTGCTTAACTGTATAGTTGTCTGATTTTGGTTCATCATCTTATACTATTTTCTCTCACTGACATAGCTGACTAAAAGCACAAATAAGCACGCTGACAGAGTTATTACTAAAACAACTGTAGCTTTTACTCTATACAAGATCCGGTTACGAACACCCCGTCACTTGTAATTAAGTTCAATACAATTGACATTGTTGGAGAAAAATACAACAGTTTTTACCCAGTGAAAGACCAGTTGTGCATAATCAATTACGTGATCGCCATCAGTATTCTGTAATCGGTGTATGTATCCATATTTTATTAAATAGGTATTTTCTACTTGCACTATGTACGCATAATATGTGTTGAAATTAATGCTTAACGGGGTGCATGACATGGTGTTATTGAAAATAACTGCCATTCCTAGATAGTAACTTAAACTCGTAGTAATGTAATGGAATGTTTTCATTACATTGGCATTCGCAATGTGCTTTTTATTAGCATTTCTTAAATTCACTAGCAGGCAATAGAATATAGATTTCTTCAACTTTAGGATTTCCCACACAATTGAAAAAATAACGTATTGTTGTCATATTTTTCCATTAAACAATTGAAGTTTACCATTTTTGGTTCATTGTTATCAATTATGAACGTATTATTTGCCGAAGTGTAAATATGAGTTGTAGTTAAAATGTTGGCATGTTAAAGGTATAATATTTTGCAATCTCGTAATCCTAAAACTGCTCATAAAGTATGATTGACACTCATTCGAGCAGTGTCATTAGACTGAGTTACTGTGTCATTTGAAAAGAAGGAATAGTGATAATAAGATACCTCACATTATATTATAAGTCTTCAAACGTGGATGTAGGACCGTACCGTACCAGTCCTGCACTTTACGAGACTTGGTCGGGACGTTACGGCATACCGTGACTTGCTATATTAATTGGTAGTAATAAAACAATTATACCAATTAGACAACGAAGGATAGTCATAGATCATTTAACATCCCTTTTAAATAGCAATTTTAATCACGGCGTAAGCTATGCATTGTGTATTGTCTAGACTCCTGTTATAAACAAAAACCTTTACCAAACTTTACAAAAAATAAACAAAACAACATAACCAGTTACCAAAAAGTACAATACAGAATTCAACTAAAAACGTTAAAAACCTGACTCCGTAGGGCGAAACCACTCACGTATTGGTGTAACCTCCCCTGGAGGCTGAGGTGGATATATATCTGTTCCTTCACACGGTGTTCCTTGAACGGTCATGTACAGTTTACAGACAGTAAATGATTTCGGTCAAGGTACATGAACAAACATAATGTGAATAGCAATTGTGCAACGCAAAATTAAAACATTCAACATTTATTAGAACAATAGAATATAAACGTCAATGTTGAATTAATTTGTGTAAATTGTGCTGTATGTAGAAGTTGTGGTCGATTTTAATATGCAGGCGTCGGTGTGCAATGAATAACACAAAAAATGACAAAGCAGTTGTCATATAATATAAAATGTTCGTATATTCCGCTTTATATACACAATCAATATTTTCATAAATACATCTACCTTGGCAACGATATATTACGTCTGACAAATATGTATTTTATACCGCTGCAACAAAGACCAGTCATTTTCGACTTTACGTGCTGGAAGATGTAAGATATGTCTATCGTTGTCAGTGATATTTGAGTGACAAATAATTCATTTATTAACGCAATAGATCACTATCGACCTGAATAGCGTTCATTTAGTTGTGATTCTATACTGTACAGATACAGATATACATAAGGTATTAACACATTATTGGATAGTGTTACTCAACTAATGCTGTGGGTTGGATAGTCTCGACCATAATTAATTCTAATGTATAGAGTGTTATATTACTTTACTAGTTCAGCAGTCTCACGCAATTATGTTAGAGTATGGTGGCTTTGCACAAGATATTAGGATATAAAGCTAAAAATATTGAAAATCATTTGAATAATCATAATCTACTAACAATACTTTTCCAGCCAGATATGCATTTACAGAAACCATTGTTAATCGTGCTTGGTTTCATCGCGTAATAAAAATTTTGCTTTCAAGCAAAATTGTGTTAAATTACGATAGGATTGAAAAACCCTAATGTAATATGGTGGGATGTATTTTGAATCAGATATCATAAAAGCCATGGTTCTCTAGTTTTATATGCATGGCGCCCCTACCTATAATGTTTACACGTTCGGAAAATGAATGCATTAAAAGCCTCCTGATTAAACCAAACGTAGCCAAACCCATATTTACATAAAGTACATTTGATCTCCGTAGTCCAGGATCTTCGTCCTCAAATGATTTAGTTTCTTTCTGTGTGGTCAAAATACTTGTGGTGATAGTAAATGAGTACGTGTATGACAGACACTCAAATATGCTCACTGTATTTGAATGAGTATTTCATATAACATGTAGCCCCCGTTACTGTAAATCACTATTCATATTTAGTTTCATAACCCACGTTTCTGTAAAATCTAAAAACTATTACGCTTATAGCTCGTTTCAGTCCTATAAATTATGTCGTCAGCGTACAATAAGGAAAATACTTCTATCATGTCATTTGGGGGTCGGTGTATTATTTTTAATTAATAATTTTCAACGTATCCCTAGCTCATTTATATAAAAGATAATAGTATAGCGCTAAAAATGTTCTTGTTCTTGTTCAAATCACACACTCAGGTGAAGAGATATCCTTGTAACACGGTGTACAATTATCCGGCAATAACAATAGAAATAGAATTCTCTATTCATCAAATCAAACGCGTTTTCAAATGTAAAAAGAGACAATAAAGTTCCCGCCCTTTCCTAGATACGTGTTTGCATAAATGCGTGTAATGGCAATGTGTTATTTGTTTTTCGGATATGTACGTTTAGTCCGAGTCCGGGTAGTATTTAAATTGTGTTCAGGCAGTAATTGAAAGCTATGTTTGGGTGGCAAGTGTTCTGATTCTACCCTGGTCGGTATTTCAAATGACGTAACACAATCATATAATTCAATGGTTTGTAAGAGTATAAAGCCATTATTTGCAACATAGGAAAATTCTCCGGGTTCTTCGTCCCATATAATATGTATAAGTGCTTAGAGATGAGATACTAAAGTTTTTGCTTTCAAAGTTTCTAGATTGGCGAGGTATGTCAAAATAGCATTGCACCATATAGAGTATCATCCTGAATCAGAAGCTGTTATGTCATTGATATCTCCGGCTATTAATATGATTATATCACCTATACAGGCTGAAAATGAACTACATCTGATTCAATTTTTTTATGATATATCTGCATTGTAAATGAACTGTAGCGCCTTCGGACAAAACACAACATCTAAAAATATATAATTTTCTAAACTAAAGACAAAACAATATTTTATATATAAAACAAAAACCTCACTGCTTGCAATTTTATACATCATAATCAGTAAACTGCATTTTTATCAAGACACCGGTTTTCACGTATATCACTCATGGTCAGGTGCACCATAGTTCTAAGCGTTTATTTATTACTGTCACGCCTATTGTTCGCACGCAAATTTGCGAACATTTATGGTTACATTAATATTTAAATTAGTAAACCTTAACGGTTTGAATATAGACTTAATAAACATTTAAATAAAACTGTAAGGTTTACTTATTTGATATAAACGTAACCACGGAGGTTTACTAATTTGCATACAAATATAGATGAACATAATTATATGCAACACATTGTTTTGTGGTATTCGCATTTGTTTTATTATGCACAATTACAATTTAGAAACTCAATTAAATTACAAAGAATGGTCATATTTGCATTAATTTAATATATGACATTAATTTGAGTTCAAATTGTAATTCATGTGGATATCGGTTTACCAGTTTTTATTAATTTACCGACTTTGGTATTTGCACTGCTTTCTGTGGGGGTCATTCTCTTCTATGTCGTATTTGCATAGATTCATTGCCAGTACTGCTCCCGTATCGGTTGTTCTCCAGACCCATGCAGAATAGTCGCTGTAATAACCTGAACAAAATAATAATTGGAATACATAAACGTTTGTAAAAAATAATTAATGACACAAAAACATTCCCAGTGATTGGAAGGGTTCTCAACACATGTACAATTTACTTAATATGATTACTATCTCACTCATGTTTGCAGACAGACAGAACCGAGATGTACACGCATCTTAGCAGCACTTGGAAAGTCAATGGTTTAGCCAATAGGCGCTATGCATTAAGTGAACTATATAAGACGCCAACCAATCACACATAGTATAAATTAATCACAGATGTTATAATTAAAGATTCATATGCAAATTAGTTTTCGAAAATAAGTAATGTTGATTTTATAATCGTCATTTTTATTGTATTTTCTGTGGTATAAGTCGGTGTTAACTGTACGGGTTTTCGTGGATTTACAATTGTAATTGTATACAATAACTATACCCATACATAAATAATAATCGCAAAATTCAGACCTTGCACATTCCATGTAAATAGTAGTTAATCTATTGTTGTATTGAAAATAATCAACGTGAAATAACTATTATTATACATCAGATCAAATGTATGTTGTGTTTACGTGTGATTGCCAGATAACTGACAGAATATCTAGATGTTCTTACGTTTTATGCTTAATGCGTTAACAGTTGCTTCCATAAGACAATTAGTTATAGTATCCGACGAAACTCAATATAATAAATTATATACTGTATAGTGTTTATATATAATATCACTAATACTGTTTACCTTTTTGTGACACAGAGATGGCATGACGATTATCTAATGTGGAACGCTAGTAAATATAATAATCTTGACAAGTTAAGAGTGCCATCATCAATGGTGTGGTTGCCTGATACTGTGCTCTATAATACGTAAGCAATTTGTACCCCGATAACCTCTGACCTATGCATTTGTAATGAAATAATATTCCATGTGTTTTCGTTAAGATGTATTTAATAATTTAACTGTTAACTATCTAAATGTAAGTTATATATTTCAATTAAAATGTAAAGGATAATAGATAATTTTGGTCATTCTGAGCTCATGTTAAAACGTACCGTAATTTTATTTCATGTTTTATGGTAGTCATTGTGGTGTAAAAATCCGCTGCTGTGCCATAGAACACAACACTTGAAAAGTGTGTAATGGTAGCCTTGGCAGCTTACGGATTAAATTGATCAAATTGATCAAATATATCAATATGAACGTGTTTCATCATATCACAAAACAAGAAGCATATTTATAGCAAGGATCACCCCAGTAAACGTGATATTGTTCAATTTACAAATCGAACTTCTCTTTAAGCATGCTGTAAATCACCAATGGTTATGTATTGCTATTGTGTGTGTTAAAATGCCATTAACATATTTTGTTTATCCCACGCAGGGCTAAACAGGACAATGAGAATTTTATGTTGGACGTAAAGACTACTATGATAATTGATTCAGAAGGAAGCGTTGATTGGAGTGCCTTGGTTATTCTGAAGACTTTTTGCCCTGTGAATATCTTTTATTTCCCATTTGATACGCAGAAGTGTGAAATGAAGTTCGGTTCGTGGCAGTATGATGCCAGTTTCATCGATTATACTAGAGGACCGGCAGATGCTAGTAATTATGTACATAATGGAGAGTGGGACACTGTTGGTAAGTAGTATAGATGATAAATCGTTTTCAAACTAACACAGTATATCTCAAAAACATGAATAACCAAATATTAAATATGTTCCATATTAACTATCAAATATTTAAAAATTCGGTATTATCGTTGCAGCTGGATATTTACTAAACGAAACGAAGTGCGTGTTAGTGCTTAGCATCACAAAAAACATTGTGTTAGGTCACAATTTTATATCTGTTTTTAGTGAATATGCCACATTGTGAACATAAACCTGAAAGTATAATGGTGAATTTGTCTTGAAGTGCGAAATAATTTATTATAATTATGTTATATATGCACACATGGCATATCCCAAGAGATGTCGCAGGCGATGCATGAATCGAGTCAAGTGCTATGTACATTGCATGAAATGAACAGTAGTGTGTACACACCTTGCTCTCAAGAAATCATTCAATGTCTATGCATGTAGTTATGTAATATGGGACGGTATTGTAAGATAAATGGTAGATGCATGTCACATAAATGTAGATCAACTAAAATCATTTTATCAATCAACTCCGTACTTTAACGTCAGTTAATAGTGATCCATTACAGTTGTAATAATAAAAACATCCGTCACAAATCGTTCACGATGTAATAAAGGATCAGAGTATAAAGTACCCAATTTATCCCTGCTATGCAACGACAAAATTGCACGTAGTACTAATATAATGAATCAAATCTGCGTAAATATTGGCATTGACATTTATTTGCTAAGAAATTTATAGATCATGTCTAAGATCAATATTTAACGATGAAAGTGTAGCTGAATTGGTACTCTGTGGTATCAGCTTTCTGTGGGTTCTACAAAGACGACAATGTATTCAATACTGAATTAGAAGGGCAGTGTGCTACATGTAAAACAATATTCAAGTGTGTGTAATTGTGGTATATTCATTGAATTCGAAAGATTACGTAAGGGGTAACTCAATTTATGTCGAGTTTGTAGGTTCTCTTCATGATTCAGTTAGAAAGCTTTCGTTCTTCATTTTATAGCAAATTTTACAAGACCAAATGTAAGTCAAACTAATAAATTCATACAATCAGTGGCCTTTCACATACGTCATGTTTACGCAACGAAACTGTCTGCTATGTCTCTCGACGGACATGAAAAAAATCCATTAGTCTCGTATCATTGCTTTTTTCTTCCGGGCGATCGGCTTTCGATCTCATTGAAGCTGTTTAGAGCGGTGAACATATGTACAACACTGGGGCATGTTAGTAGGTACTGCACGTGTGCAGATTACGTGCTCCGCTGCCCGCAGATGTTTCATGAAATAACGTTAAACGTGAAGACAAAATAGGTGTAATATTTAACCATGTACGTTCTTTGTAATTTTAAATTTATACTCTCGAATAAGACGTGTATATCCAGTTAGTTGAAGAAGAACTAATATGTCATGTTATTAGTCAAACTACATTAGCACTCGTGATTCTCTCTAATGCGCAATCCAGCGTATTTACTGTACTGTTATATTTAGAACGGTAGTATACGCTTTATTTGAGGATGTGCGTCAGTGGAGATTGATCTCACAAATGCTTATGTGTGCCTTTGAATATATCGTATAATCAACTTTCCTTCTGTGTTATGTGTTAAATCTAATAATTAGATAATCTCAGTTAATGCAATTCACACTTATCTCTGATGCTCGTATATGTTTTGTGCATTGTGCATAACCTGCTGTGTGTGTGATTTTATTTAACGCATTCTCTCCGTTACACTATCTTTGCAACCATCTTGGGTATTAATTTGTCTCTCCGCAGGTTCACATAGAAACATGAGGTCAAGCACAGATGTACTGGATATTAGAAAAGAGGGGATTATCAAATCAATTTATTTCTGCCCATTTATTGTCTCATTGATTCATATTTCAGTTGTTATTGTTTTATTTTTTTGTTTATTGCTTGTTTTGTGTATTGTTTTGTCTTTTATATATCCCAGGTCATTGTGCACAGAAGACATGGTTAGTATCACAAGAAGGATGTATAGTGTACGCACCAAGACGATTCACTCTAATATTTTCTTGTTTCTAGGAATAACAGTCATTCGTAATCCGGGCATCTATTCATGTTGTCCGGGTCGAGAATACCCGGATGTAACGTTCACCATCACCATTCGCCGAAAGCCGTTATTTTACGTTTTCAATTTGATAGTCCCCTGTTTTCTTATATCTGGTATGTCTATGCTCGGGTTCATTCTTCCGTGTGAATCCGGAGAAAAGGTCTCACTTGGTATCACAGTGTTACTCTCTCTTACCGTCTTCTTGCTTGTTGTTGCCGAAACCATGCCGGCGACCTCCGACACGATTCCATTAATAGGTGAGTAGTTTATTAGTATTAAAACTCAACGGACGAGGGAAGAGTTTGCTGGTTTGGGACTTACTAGAACCAATTACAAATGTAGAAGTGGACATCTACAGGTAATGTACTTTCATTGGATGCTTTCTCATCATGGATACGCCATGCATTATACAACTCCAAATAAATTGATATATTTAATCTCATATTTCACAATTTGTTTATTTCGTGGTATTTCCGTTCCGAATTTCAGAATCATTGATCCGTCAAATGTGACTATTATCGAAGTTTAAGCACAGACTAATTTGAGTTAGAAAAATTTCAATCAGGCGGTTGATTTACTCATATTGGCTGAGATGCAATAGCTGTCAAATCAGCTGAATCAGTCTGATATGCAATCAGCCAAGCATTTTGTCAATTAAATTGCCTAGGTATTAGAGGCTCGGCAATTTGCTGTATTGGTATTTCATTTAATCAAGTGCGCTTCAACAAGAAATCCTTTGTTAATAAGCAATATCGGCAAATAAAAACTGGCCCTACTGTTTACCTGGATCAACGAGTAATTGTGTTTGGCAGTTGAATATGTATATATTTTTATTATTTGTAGGTCGATATTATATATTTACTATTGTATTGGTAGCAGCGTCGACGACAATGACAGTTGTTGTTCTAAATCTCCACCACCGTCACAATCAACTCCCACGATGGGTTCGATTTATTTACTTCAAAGTATTGGCTCGCCTACTACTGGTTCAGTTGCCGAGTTTTATTGCCAACAAGGACGATTGTCGTAATTGTGTCATCTCCAATTCTGGCAGCGTTAAAGAAGAGGAAGTAAAAATAATAAAAGCTAGCCCTGACAGGAAAAAGAACACAAACGATCACTCTAAAAAGAACATGACTTTTAAGGATAAGGTATTGCTAGATATATTAAAATATGTCAAGACGATTTCAATGAGACACGAAGGAAAGGACAAACATACGAAGGTGATCATTGAATGGCACATGGTTGCCAAGATTACTGATCGGTTATTTTTTATTATTTACGTGTTGTCCGCTGTATTGATAAACGTCATTATTGCTGTACAAGCCATGGAGCACATTTAATAACTGTCAAACTGGAATTTCGTTAAAAATAATGAAACATTATTTCACTTGTAGAGGGATAAGCGGATAGAAGATGGAATAAGTTGGAGGAGAGGTTTTTGGTCATAATTTCTTTTAACATGACGATGTGATTTGCATTAGCTTGTGTTACTACGATATGTTTATACCTTGAAATGAATATAAGAAATGACAAATCTTATAGTTTAATAAAGTGTTAGCGCAGTACATTACAATTATCAAAAATGATGAAACCCAATTTTGATATTTCCAGACTTTCTACAAAAATTTAAATTACGGCAGTTAATATGCTGTCTACCTTTTATAATATGCCATTTCGTTTTATGTCTTGCAAATCAAATCAACGTCGGCTTACTCTGTGTAGTTGTCATTGGCAACAGGATTATATGTCATTTCAGTTTTTGTCTCTTGATGTGAGGCACAACTTTGAATCGAAAAAGTCGATTAATCTCGAGTATAGACTTGAACGCGCCCACAGCTGAACTAATGTGGCGCATCGCAGCTGTCAGTTTGACGGACAGTAGATCAATTGGGCGATAAATGAGCACAGTATTATTTGAAGGTTAAAAGAATTCATGTGCACAAGATATGATTTAATGGATAGCGCGCACTCATGATCCACCGCAAACCGTATAAGTAATATCCCTCTGTATTTTGACGATACGTTTATTGAGTCAAATTTCAAAACACTTACACAAAGCACGGAGTAATTGTACTCTGTGTCATTGCGTTACACATCAGAACTGCTCCCTTTCCATTAACAACGGAGAAATTGTACGTGTACGTTTTTCGCGACTCCTAATGCAATTGAACACAAATCTGTCTTCAAACGACTGAAGGTCAGTTGTGTGGCACATATCATGTACACATATTATGCGTGACACACTGCATAGAAACAACTGACCATGAGTTGTGTGATACACTGTGTTTTCACATATACTAGTATGTGTGAAAAGAAATTACCGTTATTTATGTGGCACATTGTGTACGCGTAACTGTGTGGAAACAACTTGCCGTGAGTTGTGTGTACACATATCTGCGTGGAAACAACTTACCGTGAGTTGTGTGTACACATATCTGTGTAGAAACAACTTACCGTGATTTTGTGTACACGTATCTGTGTAAAAACAACTGACCATGAGTTGTGTGATACACCGTGTACACATATCTATGTGGAAACAACTTACCTTTAGTTTTGTGTACACATATCTGTGTTGAAACAACTTACCGTGATTTGTGTGGCACAATGTGTTTTAACATATATATGTGTGGAATCAACTTATCGTGATTTGTGTGGCAAACTGTGTACACATATCTGTGTGGAAACAACTGACCATGAGTTGTGTGGCATACGGTGTACATATGTGGAAACAACTGATAACTGCTATAACGTCACACGACTGCGTTGAATTCAATGTTGGTGTTTTGTATATCACTGTCATTAACTCGCTGATTTAAGAATATGCCTGAATTTCTATATAGCCGTAGCCGTCATTATTGAAAACCACAAATTCTCTAATTTGCGAATGTCATGTTAAGTCGTTTCATATAATTTTATTTCCTATACTATAGAAATGACTACACCTGCAGAGTAGTCATTTGCAAACGATAGGAATGAACCTGGTATTTACCTTTACCATTACAAATATAAGTGGCTATAAGATAGCCCAGGACGACTAATGAAATGCTACGTTAAATCAGTTTGACTATTTTGCTATCTTGGTTGATCCACTAACATGTTTTATAAAATCGTAGGAAGTAAACCAATGCCTGGCTTTATAATTATTTAGAACACTGTGGCCGGTTTATCTATAGAGCGCGTGAATTTTGAATAGAAACGTAGTATTTTACTTGTAGAGAGCGCCAAATTTCATTATAAATTGTTTTCCACTTTGAGGTGTTACGCGTAACAGACTTGTGAGGGCGTTATACAGTAATTTCATACACGACTCAACTTAGACGCGTGCGAATTCTCAGAAGACTTACCACCTCAGAAAAGACAATAATAAATTAGATAATGTATAGATTTATTTAAATTTAGCATGAATGGGAAGTTACAATTTAAGTATTAAATATGCTTCATGGTGTTAGATAAGTTTATTTTTTATTCCATATCAGCAAATGATATAATTTAGGCATTTATGGCTGACTGTAGCAACGAACTATTACATTTCTATAGATTATTTAAATTTTATTTTATATTTCTGGTGCTTGTATTACACAATTTATATGTCATATGTTTTGAATTTGAAGTTCCACATTTTGATTTCAAGCTGGACAAATGCAGACACCAGGTTTCTGTTTTGTATTAAGATATATATTGATATATAGAGATTTGGAATAAATCGCTGACAGATAGCAGGATTCAACAATAATAAATGAGTATTACAGTACGTTAGTTATCTAGTCCAATCCTGTGCTTTGTTTTCTTTACATTTTTGGAGGTGTTTGCACATAGTTTATTTAGATATTCCCATGTATTGTATTGTATTGGTATTTATAACACACACTGTTATTTGTTACACTCTGTAGTTAAGCAACACAAACTTATTAAAGTGATTACAACAATGAGCGTGTCGACGTTTCAATATGTATTGACATTCATATAATTCTACATACTGATAGCAGTGATGTAACATCAAAATAATATATAAATCAAGTGTAATAGGACTCTTTCAACTTTGGATTATATATAAGCCACATACATAATCCGGAACTTTTCACATCACCTTCCAAACAGTTTATGTTTAATGACGCAAAGAGATTAAGCGAAGAAGTAATCACTGATGGAAATATTTACCAACCGAGTGACCACCGGTCAACCACGAAGTGATCACTGGTCGCAGTTACATGTAATTATTCAACCACGGAGTGATCATTTGTCATGTGGCATGCAGAAATTCATGCATGAAGCGATCACAGCTCATGCTATAGCCACGTAGCAATCACCAGTCTTGTGAAGTGGAAAGATTCAAATATGAAACTGATTTCTAGTCATGTAACATGAGCGGGAATGTAACATGGTGGTGGCATAGGATGATTCACCCACCGAGTGATTGCTGGGGTAGCAGTCACATGTAGACATTCAAGCATAGAGTGAAAGCTGGTGACACGGATTTATCACTTGGCATGTGATAATCAGAGTTATGTACAGACATATTCAAAGCACTGTTCATGTGACATGGAGAGATTCAACCATGGAGTGATCGCTGGCTGTGGTACAGAGAGATTCAACCATGGAGTAGTGGCTGGCGGTGGTGGCACAGAAATATTCAACAATGGAGTAATCGCTGGTGGTTGCATGGAAAGATTCAAGCATGGAATAGTCGCTAGTGGTGGTGGCACAATGATATTCAACCATCGGGTAGTGGCTGGCGGTGGTAGCCCAGAGAGATTAAACCATGGAGTAGTCACTGGTGGTGGTGACACAGAGAGATTCAACCATGGAGTGATCGCTGGTAGTTGCACAGAGAGATTCAACCATGGAGTGATCGCTGGTGGTGACGCAGAGAGATTCAACCATGGAATGATCGCTGGTGGTGACACAGAGAGATTCAACCATGGAGTGATCGCTGGTGGTGACACAGAGAGATTCAACCATGGAGTGATCGCTGGTGGTGACACAGAGAGATTCAACCATGGAGTGTTTGCTGGTAGTTGCACAGAGAGATTCAACCATGGAGTGATCGCCGGGGGTTGCACAGAGAGATTCAACCATGGAGTGATCGCTGGTGGTAACACAGAGAGATTCAACCATGGAGTGATCGCTGGTGGTTGCACAGAGAGATTCAACCATGGAGTGATCGCTGGTGGTTGCACAGAGAGGTTCAACCATGGGGTGATCGCTGGTGGTGGCACTGGCAAATTCAACCATGGAGTGATCGCTGGTGGTGGCACAGAGAGATTCAACCATGGAGTGATCGCTGGTGGTTGCACAGAGAGATTCAACCATGGAGTGATCGCTGGTGGTTGCACAGAGATATTCAACCATGGAGTGATCGCTGGTGGTGGCACTGGGAAATTCAACCATGGAGTTATCGCTGGTGGTGGCACAGAGAGATTCAACCATGGAGTGATCGCTGGTGGTTGCACAGAGAGATTTAACCATGGAGTGATCGCTGGTGGTGGCACAGAGAGATTCAACCTTGAAGTGATCGATGGTGGTTGCACAGAGAGATTCAACCATGAAGTGATCGCTGGTGGTGGCACAGAGAGATTCAACCATGGAGTGATCGCTGGTGGTGGCACAGAAAGATTCAACCATGGAGTGATCGATGGTGGTGGCACAGAGAGATTCAACCATGAAGTGATCGCTGGTGGTTGCACAGAGAGATTCAACCATGGAGTGATCGCTGGTGGTGGCACAGCGAGATTCAACCATGAAGTGATCGCTGGTGGTTGCACACAGAGATTCAACCGTGGAGTGATCGCTGGTGGTTTCACAGAGAGATGCAACCATGGAGTGATCACTGGTGGTTGCACAGAGAGAATCAACCATGGAGTGCTCGCTGGTGGTTGCACAGAGAGATTCAACCATGGAGTGATCGCTGGTGGTTGCACAGAGAGATTCAATCATGGAGTGATCGCTGGTGGTTGCACAGAGAGATTCAATCATGGAGTGATCGCTGGTGGTTGCACAGAGAGATTCAATCATGGAGTGATCGATGGTGGTTGCACTGAGAGATTCAACCATGGAGTGATCGCTGGTGGTTGCACAGAGAGATTCAACCATGGAGTGATCGCTGGTGGTTGCGCTGAGAGATTCAACCATGGAGTGATCGCTATAATTGTAACGTAACACGTAGTGATTCAATCACGAAGTGATTGTTGTTCACGCGACACAGAGATTACTTGAAAGAACAAATCACGCCTGTATGTGCTTTATGGTCACTAAGAGCACTTAACCATATTATGCGATGTCAATTTGAATAGTAGAACAAAGTGTCACTTGCAGAGGGCACTCGGTTTTAAATTCAAATGGTTTCCACATGCACTATGAGGCGATACCGGCAACAAACATGTGAGAAAGTTAAACCGAAATATCACAACTGTAGCTCAACTCGACGTTTTCAAACTCTCAAACTGAAGGCTTACCGCAATTGAAAGATTGTTCTTGCTTGCAGTAATATCTTTACTTGCCGGTATTGGCAAAGCGTTTAGATCATTATAGCATTTCACTATATTTGACTAGGTCATTATTAATTCGCCTATCGTCAATGAACAATCAGGTTGTTTTTGAAAATTACTCGGGTATTGACAACTTATTAATTATCAATACTTGAATGTTTATTTGTTGATTTTTGAAAAAAAACTTTCGATCGTGTAAACCATCACAGTTTTGTAAAGTTAAACTCGGTCAATTATTTACAACGTTTATCTTCTCTTTATTTTTGCTTTTTAATGACTTTCAGCCAAATGTCTATAATAAGTCGCTTAAGTAATTTTCAAAGACAAAATAGTGCACATTATCTTGTATGGGACACAAATATCGGGTTTTAATAATGCTAAAGATGTTGAAGGTGTACTTTTACTGAAGCTTCTATATAATTTATATAACCCGGTAGTTTTAGGAGAGCTGAGAAAATACACACTAGACACTGCTCTATACACTATGCTATTGTTAAATATTGGATGCGCATCCTGTAAATTAATTCTGATTTCTGAATTTTTGCGAAGCGTAACAAAAATGATATGTATATTATATGTATTCTATTTTACAAGGCTTTGATGAGGTTTGTGTAGCTCAAATGCCTGCTTAGAAAATGTCTTTATTTCTATGTTTAACTAGAAATGACCTATGTAGGGGTATTGACTTTCAGCTTATCCAAATAAAATATTCAAAACAACCCTAAATTCTAAAAGTTACCCGCACTGCGTCGGTAATACAGCTTATAGGGTTGCACTGTCCAGTTTACGTGTACTTACGCACAGATAAGAGAGAAAATGTGATTTTCGTATCAACAGAGTCATAGAAGACGAATATCGATTCTGTCCAATCTGTCCCGCTTTCAAATACTTATATTCCGAAAATATCTTTGTGTTAGAGATCCCCATTCCCTAAACTTGAGTGAACTTTTTAACTGTACCCGTCCACTCATTTTACGCAACTTGTTCGCCTTGTATTCGAGAAAGGCAGTGAGTTATTAATTTAAACTTTCGCCGCTGTAATAAATCACAAACACAATCCGGAACATGTCACATTAACGCGTCATAATACTTTGAAGACAGTTTAATTTCAATGACGTCATGTTTATGGTGGTCACAATTGTATTCTAATACTCATGCACTTATAACTCTCTTGTAGTTTAATTTATGCAATTATAGTAAGATGGTCTATCTCCAAAAACTGTTCTGTATTCTAGGTACTTTTAGCAATTACTTAATCTTATTGCTTAATGTGTTATGGTAAAACGCAAACAAATTGGATGTCTTACAGAACATGTTGGCATGGTAAAACCAAAATTTGGTGTTTTACATCATTGCAGAGTAATTGGTCACGTGATAGCAATCGCTAGTCACGTGTCATCAATAGATTCAACGACTGATTGATTGACTGATTGACACTCAGGGAACCAACAACGGAATGATCGCTTGCAGCGGTGACATGGAAATATTCAACCAAGGAGTGATCACTGGTCAGGGTGAAACTGTGACGAGATTTAACATTTGAATCGCTGATTATGTGACATTGATCACATGGCAGAGTTGTAACCATGCAGTGTTCGCTAGGCAGCCGCAGTGACACACAGAGATTCTCTATTGAGTGGTCGCTGGTGTTTCCTACATGGAAAGATTTAATCACGGATTGATTGCTGGTCATGTGACATAGAAGATTCATCCAAGAAGTGAACACTGATCATGTTGACACTGAGAAATTCAACCTCAGAATTATTGGTCACATGACACGTAGTCACGAGCCATGAAACATAGAAAGGTTAAATCACGTGACACGTAGAAAGTCAGTTTTAACCATTGAGTGTTCACTGTGTGTATATTGACATATAGAGATTGGAACACGGGATGATCACTGGTGAGATTCAACTATGGGGTGATGGCTGGTCATGTGACATGAAGATTTATACCACGGTGTGACCATTGGTCTCGGTGATATGTTGTTATGATGCCACATGAATTATCGCTGGTTGCGTTGATACAGAGATATACAACCCGGGATACAACCACATTGTGATATTTTGTTGCCATGACAAGGGGAGATCCAATCGTGTCAGTGATATATGGTCACATGGCACGGGAAAATTCATTGCTGGGTTAGCAGTGATATAGAAAG